AGAAATGCACTTAAGCCTAGTAGTATGTTACAATATATCTGTTTGAATTAATTTCTGTGGTATCATTAGCATTATGTATTAACTTCACAGTTTTGATTAAAATGTGTAATCTGAGGTACCATTAAGTCTAACACTTAGCATCTCACTGGATTTTTCATGTGTCTAATTAGCACAAGGTTCATGTTCGTGTTTTTTTCAATATGAACGCAGCATTAAAGAAGCATACCACTGATTATGCTAATATATCTGGTGGAGCACCACAGAGATGAATTTTTTTCAATTTTCTAAAAGGTGAATACAATTACAAATCTAGCAAAGAAAAAATCTATGATTTAGTACATTACCTTTGGACACTTGTTTCAATAAGAAAGAATTTTGATAGTTACACAAAGAAGAAAACCTGGTCTGATCCAAGAATTAAAATAAAAGTCTCTTTACATGTCATTTATGAATAAATTAAGTTCGGTAATCCGATATTACTGAATATTATTTATTAATATTTTTAGTAAGCAAGAATAAAGTATGCAGATACTTAGAAGGACAACGTCAAATGAGAGGATACTTTTGTGGGTTTTAACAGATGAAAACCTCCAAATTTGCTAACACAAATTAACTAACCTGAAAATTAGTATGAATAAAAACTTTGAACCCGGTCTTTTATATTTTCCTCTTCCCTATCTTCTTATGTATGTCACATTTCTTTTAATCCCAGCTTTTCCTGATTCCTAGCTTTCAGAACCTTGTAATATCTTACAATTTATCCCCATCATTTTGCTTTCTCCTATCTTTTATTGCATCCAATTTTCTGTCTATCCACTTAAATGTATATCTGAATATGACTTATTCTACTGATTCCATCTGTCATCTCTTCAAAAGTAGCAAATGAAGGTCATTCTTAACTGAAGAGATTCACGACCATAAGGAAATAATAAAAAGAATTTACCTCCATTATTCATCTGTTATAGGCACATGATGGTTAGTTAAAAAAATCACAATTTCCTCTCTAAACCCTATGAAATTCAACTTATATAGTGAAATTGGTTTCCCCAGCAGTTGATCACACAGCAACCATGTCCTTTTTTGGAGAAAATAAACTGTTTCCTGAGAGCAAACCTGAAAAGTCAATTACAGTTTATGAGTTAAGCAGTTAAATGCTTTCTTGACTCTATTAGTTTGAAATGTGGAAGACAGTTTTTCTTAAACAGCTACTGATTTCAGAAGGAGCTAAGTCTCCTAAATACAAGTTAGACACCCAACAATCATTGTAGAAATGACCACAAGGGCCATTTTCTAAGACAATAATATTTCATATTTTATGTTCTTAATTAGGGAAGCTTGAAAAATTAACTAATTCCCTTTTCCAAACAAAAGGAGACATAATAAAATTATAAAAACCTGGAAGCTAGAAACATCTTGGGAAGGGATTAATTTATCTGGAAGGGACAGTTTGAAAGCAGCATTTGGAACCGATCTCCAGAGGGATGGAGAATTTACTAATGAGCACTAAATATTCATAAATTTGTGATCATGGACATTGTAGTCAATGAGTGTCCATATATTTTACATATAGCTAAGTTCTCATGTAAACAGAAAATAGGAAAGTATCCCAGATTTAGTGTTTCTCTGCTATCTAGGATGTAAAGAAAACAAGCTGAGCCTTATGAAAGAAAACAAGCTGTTAGAGCTTGTGTAGTTAGAAATTCCCATTGTTTAACAGCAGGTTCTATTTCTGGGGCAGGAACTTCAAACCGTGGAGAGACAGGATAATTATTTTCCTTATGTTTTACATATGCATTGTTTGCTTCCCTGCCTGTAGGGAAGGGAATCTTCCATCTATCTCAACGGCTAGATTTAGGATTCCCTCCCTAGCCTGCAAATATGATATGAGAAAATAACACTCTGAAGGGAATGTCAGTTGGGTTGTTTCCATTCTTTTTATTTATATTGTATTAGGGCAGTTTGCTGTCCTCAAATACTCATATATTTGGGACACTTCTGTTTATTCTTAAAGGGACACTGAAGATGCTCAGTGCTCTTTAGGACACACTAGTGGTCTAAATTGCATACTAAATGGAATTAGTATATAAATTTAAATTATAAATGCATTCCGAATTCTGGTTTTTATGACGTTGACTGAATCTGTTCCAGTTCTTCTTGGCAACTGCCTGGATTATGTTGTTTAAATGTGGTTTTCTTCCTATCCCTGTATCAAAACCTTGTTCATCCTGGCCCTCGTTTGTGCTTCTTTTTGCCACAGCACCTCTTTCATCATTGCACTTACAAAAAAAGATTAAACTATTCCAGGAAGTGGGAGAGTAATGCAATTGAATGGATATTTAGGAGCCCTGGATGTGCATGAATTGGCCCTCAGTAAATAGTTTGGCCCTATGCCTTTAGTCTTTAAAGCAAATTAAATCCTGAATGGCATTTCTCCAGGAAACATGCTTGATGGATTCCAAATCCCAAATATTAAACATAGGCTGAATCTCTGAAGTAATTTTTTCCTTCATAAATAATTTTAGGAGGTAAAACCATTCTTTTCAATAGACAACTAAGGTTGCAGTGCTCTCCTAGCCCAGAAATCTAAAATTCTGGACTGAAGCTAAGCTAAAAATTGATGACACAGAACTGTAAGGAATTATTTACTGTGTTCACCTCTGGATGGTGACACTATTAGGCTTCTGTAGTTGAAACACAAACAAGCAGAATAGACAGAATATATTTTTGTAATTGAATTCATACCTTAAAGTCACCTTAAAACTTGCCACAGGATTTCTCAACATATATGGGTTTAAGTATTCTAAATAATTTTTTAGAGAAGCAAGAATCAAGAGCTTTTATGCAAGAGACCTACAGTAAGAGACCTGCCCTAAGAACATTTTGTCTTAGCATTGAAATTACTTGCTAAAGGGCTATGTCTTTTATGAACTTGAGTGGTGAACAAACCCTGTTATTATTTGAGTTTTCTCTATTGAATATGTGACCTTTTAAATATGACAGAGTTGGTTGGCCCACACCTTAGCTGGAGCCATTTTCAGGAAATTTGTGTAATATTTTTACTCTATAATAATTCTGTGTTTATATAGGTATAACTCATAGGCAGGAGCTCTGGACCAGAAAAAAATCATAAGTAACTGAGAACATATTAAATATCAGAAAATAATTTGACAGCTAATTTCATTTAGTCAGTACATCTGAAAACCATTGAATAAAGGTTAAATTAACATATAATTTCTTAGACAAGCAAAGTTGTACTTCCTAATATCACTGACTAGTTTGTAAGTGTAGCTTATTCTTTTTCTGAAACCAAAATACTAGGATTCAAAGACAGAAATGGAATAACAAATATATTTTAAAGTTTATAAGTCCAGCACCTCAAAAGAAGTAATGGAATTTATTTTGCTTTCTTTTTTTTCTCTAAAACATTTTTCCTATAAATGTAATTCAGAAGAGCAAGCAAAGACTTCTCTTACTGTTAAAACACACATAGTCTTACACACAATGTACAAGCAAAATGATGATTTGTTTTTTCTGTCATGTAGAACTCAGATGACAGCTTTGGTTAGGTTTGGGATAGAAATCTCACTGGAAATCTCTTCCTTATCCCACTGCTGTAGTGGAATAGAAGTGTAGCTGAACAATGAAATAGTTCTTCACTCCTGAACTAAGAGTAGACGGTTGCCAAAAGATGACAGAATCAAAAACTTGGTGATGGGGGAAATGGAGAATGTGAAACACTCTTTTAGTGGGTACTTACCAATTATACCAGGTCAATATGAATGTATCTGCACCCTGCATGAAAGTGCTTATTAAAGGAGTAAGTGTAAGGAGAGGGCCTGCTTCTCTAATAGTACCTGGTCAAAGGAGCCACAAAACAAGAACATACAGAGAGAAACCTGAACCAATATGCAGTAATGTAGATGGTGAAGACAGCAAACATGATCAATCACACAAACTGGGAAAGTTATGTAGGTTGTGAAGGTGTTTATTTTTTTCAGTTGGAAGGATAAGGAAAGGGAGGGAGACAAAACATGGAGAGACATAAACCCTGGCAAATTAGCATTAACAAACAATAATAAAGGACAAACCTGGTCAGTCATTCTAATTGATGGACTACTGAGAATCAGCAGACAAACCAGGAACCTGCAAAGAGGCTAATACTAGCCACCATGTGTGAGAAGTTGTGGCAGAAAAGAGGAAACATAACCTGTCTCGGTCCCTCTGGGAGCCTCTCAGGAACCCTGGGCCAGTCCCGAGTCAGCAGACACCGGGGGGCAGCCCCGACACGGCTGACAGCAGGGAGACACTGTCTGTGTGTGCCCCGAGGGTACTGAGGGCACCTGGGCTGGCAGGGAGACACTGTCTGTGTGTGCCCCGAGGGTACTGAGGGCACCTGGGCTGGCAGGGAGACACTGTCTGTGTGTGCCCCGAGGGTACTGAGGGCACCTGGGCTGGCAGGGAGACACTGTCTGTGTGTGCCCCGAGGGTACTGAGGGCACCTGGGCTGGCAGGGAGACACTCTCTGTGTGTGCCCCGAGGGTACTGAGGGCACCTGGGCTGGCAGGGAGACACTCTCTGTGTGTGCCCCGAGGGTACTGAGGGCACCTGGGCTGGCAGGGAGACACTGTCTGTGTGTGCCCCGAGGGTGCTGAGGGCACCTGGGCTGGGCGCCTGTGCAGCACAAGAGACACCAGAGACATCGGTAGAAGAGAAAGGGCCGACTCTTAGCAGGGGTCAATCCAAGGTTTTATTAGGATCCCAAGGGAGCTCCTGCACCTCAGGGGTCTCCTGCTGAAAGCCCCGGGAGATGGGCCAAGGTCACATTTAAAGGGAGGTGGAAACCAAAAGTAGATAACATTTTACAACCAATGAGTGACCCTAAGGGATGGGTACTGGGGGATAGACATTTAGGACAGCGTATGGGGCAAGGCTTGGGGGGCTGACCCCTGGCCTCTGGACAATCACTCGACGACCTGGACCGAAACTTCTGGATGGAGGGGATGGGATGCTGAGTGATTGACAGAGAGCCAGGGTGGGGGTTTGGGGATGATCTCATCCCGGGAGAGGGATAACACAGGTAAAGGGAGGGGAGTACAGTCTGGGATAAACCATTTGGGAAAAATATGGGAATACAAAACAAAACTACTTCAAAGTATTACAAAGTATAAAAACGCACTACAACAATAACCCTTGCTCTTAGAAGAGGAAAAAGGAAGGCCTGAGGAACACTCCAGTCAGTCTCAACTCTGTGACCAGCAACATCATGGAGCAGATTCTCCAGGAAACTCTGCTAAAACACATGGGAAATGAGGAGATGATTTGCAACAGCTAACATGGCTTCACTAAGTACAAATCAGTACTTAAAAGTGGCCTATGAGAAAGCTGGGGAGGGACTTTTTACAAGGACATCTAGCAACAGGACAAGATGTAATGGCTTTAGGCTGAAAGAGGGTAGATTTAGATTAGATGTTAGGAGAAAATTCTTTGCTGTGAGGGTAATTGGATACTGGAATGAGTTGCCCAGGGAGGAAGTGGGTGCCCTGTCCCTGGAAGTATTTAAGGCCAGTTTGAAGGGACTTGGAGCAACCTGGTCTCATGGTAAGAACTCTTGCCCATGGCAGTGGAGGTTGGAACTAGATTATCTTTAAAGGCCCCTTCCAGTGTAGAACATGCTATGATTCTATGCATCGTATGATTTTATGACTGAAACAAACAACATATCTGGGGCTGTTTTTTTCCTTTGTTTGTTCATCTTGTTACCATTGTTACAGAAAAACAGTGTGAATTTACCCATTGTGCAGGTTCTTGGGTTGGTATTCTGCTTTTTACTTTAATTCCTGAAAAAAAGAACATCTGGAAAGTTACAGATTCAGATGTCTCATCTCGATGCTAGAACCAAATTCATGTAGAGGGTAATTAAAGTGAGGTGGAATATAATCTGACTCAGTGCATAGGTACAAATTCATATATGTGAAATTGATGCCTTTTTAACCCATACAAGATTACTAAAAAATTAATGAACAATAGATTTATATCACACTAATTGATGTAATTTATGTCTCTTTTTCTGGCAATGGGATACATAAAAGTTCATTACAATCAAGGAATAGCTATAAGATAAAAGGCTAAGTCTTGTCATAGATTTTTAAACTGGTTAATCAGTAAGAAAGGAATCACAAGGACTGTTCCCAGGGCTATCAGGTACAATATCTGATCAAGCAATAAACCACTGATTTATATTTAACACATTCTTTAAAGTTAGTAAGTGTTCTTATTTATATTTCACAATCAGGAAACTGAAATAGAGAGCTATGTCAAATTCAGCTCTTGATAGCTATGAAAAGTGGGACAAGTCACACTTTTACAGTGTTTTCTCTCTCTGACAACAGAGGTCAAACTGAGACAGCAAAAATTTGCAGAAATTATCCCACCTTAAGACTAGTTTGATAATGAAAAGGGAAATATGCATATTTTCTCTCATTGTAATATGAAACTAAGTAAATCAAATAAAGATTTTTTTTTAGGCAAGACTAGGAAAAAAGCTGAAATATTTCAGAAACAATCTGAAAATTTCAGCACATTTGAACAAGGTGTGATGTTAATATCTGTTTTATTTTATTTGAAAGTATGGTCTGCCCTAAAAAAAAAAAGCCATAAATATTTTTAGCAATTAGAAGTCAGTAACAAAATGTCTGATTTAGATTCAAACCTCAGCACTTCTCGTCAGAGTTAGAATATTACACAACATGAGCCATATAATCTAAGCCACACCTGCCCACCTGCCAGCTTAGAAATTTGCTGTGTCCAATATGCCTGTGGAGTAAAACCTATGGGATTCATTTTGTGTGTATTTTAATTTCTCTGTTTCTTGGTAATTTCCAATAATGTTTCTGCCACCTAATCTTTATTTGGCAAATAATTATAATTTTTATTAGTGTGAAGCACTAGACTTCAAGCTTACATCTGGCCATATCAGGTCATGCTGGAGCCTTTGCTGATTTGAAATGGTCCTGGAAAGCACTTAGCAGATGAAAAGGAAAGGCTCAGCTGCTAGCACTTTAGTTACACAACCTTCATCAGATCTGGTATTTGAAAAATAGACAGTTATTATTTTCTTCTTTTTTAATTTTTTTTCTGATGGACTCTGCTATTATCCAGAAATGATACTAAGATTTTCTGTAGTAGTACATCTACTGGCAGCTCATGATCTGCTCATGATCTGTTTACAGATTTTATAGGGGATAATAAATTGGCTTCCAAAAGGTTTCTCACTCTACAATAGTTACCCACCTGTTGATCCCAGGTTTCTTTAATAGTTTATTGCCAAACATTCATCTGTAAATAAAAAATTCTTTGGTTAGTTCTCTCAAACATAAATCCATCCATTCTTCATGATACCAATATAGAAAGATGCCATAATGAGTTTCTGAAACCAGTGTTCTTCTGTGCTGTGATTTTTCTGATTGTGATTTTATTTCAGCAGGCTGTATCCTAAAAAAGGGATAGCATAGATAACAAATGCCTCCTTCATCCCTTGTGCTGAGTTATTTGAATTGCATGGACCGAATAGGTCTGAATACTTTAGTATTTGAAAACAGTTCACACAAATGTATTTTGTCTGCTACAAAAAAGGGCTATAGTTATCTTTGACATTTACTGCTTGATTTTACAGGCAGGGAAGTTGTGGAGGGTGTGACAGTGTTCACAGGGGTTTTCAGGTGAGGGAAGAGACGAGAATGTTGACTCCATGTTCAGAAGGCTTGATTTATTATTTTATGATATACATTACATTAAAAATTTACTAAAAAGAATAGAAGGCAAAGTTTCATCTCAGAAGGCTAGCTAAGCTAAGAATGGAATAGAAAAGAATGATAACAAATGCAGCTGCCTCAGACTCTCTGTCTGAGTCAGCTCTGCTGTGATTGGCCATTAATTACAAACAAGCAGATGAGACCAATCACAGATGGACCTGTTGCATTCCACAGCAGCAGATAACCATTGTTTACATTTTGTTCCTGAGGCCTCTCAGCTTCTCAGGAAGAAAAAATCCCAAGAAAAGGATTTTCACAAAAGGATGTCTGCGACAGGAGGGTACTACTCATTACGACATCTGTTACAGAGCATAAAGCAAATAAAATTATTTACAGTAAATGAAAAAGGTTATGCTGGAAAATTCCCACTGTATAAGAATATTATATATCTATCTCTATAGTCAGGATATTTGAGGCAAGTTGGGAAGGTCAGCTATTCTGTTGTTACTGGTCCTGAATTTGCTATGTAGTTCTTCATATAGTGCATGTTTGTTTGGTTCATATATGGTTTATAGTCTTTGGGTCTCCAGTATAATCCTGTGCCCTTTTTGTCATTGTCCCATAACATTACTTAACCTGCATCCCAGGGCTCCATTCTCAAAGCCCTTTCTGTCACACCAGACCTTTATGCATCCAAACTACATTTTTAAGTCAACAGTGAATATTTCCATCCACATAAATCATCAGTACATTACTATTACTAAAACACTGGGGTTATGCCACAAAATTTTACAAAGTTGAGCAAAGTGACATTAATGAGTTAATAAGTACTTGGTCATCAGAAAATTGTCATTACACTTAAACAAGCTAAAAACAATTCTCCAGGCAGGCCAAGGGGAGCTCCGATGCAGCCTGATGAGCCTTGGCCCATTTGGTGCAAAGACTTTGGCTTGTAATTAGCAATAGCAGTGCTGTATCTATGGAGCTAAATGGCTCCAGGGCAAGGTGACACCATCTGGCATGGGGAGATCTCCCTCTTTACTCTAGGACCAGCTTGTTGGCTTTTTCCCAAACCCTTAATGCTTGATTCTGAGCCTAATCCTGGTGCTCAGTGGTAACATACTCAAAGAACACATTGCCATTGTGTTTGAGTGTGACTTTCAGCTCAAAGTATTCAAAAGAATTTGAGACCTTTGTGTGGAGGTCCAACAGAGACATCACTTCTTTAGTTCAAAATTCAGCATGAATACTGCTCTGTGCCATGGGGTGTGGCCTTACCTTGAGGAAGAACACTTTGAAGACCTACTGGAGCAAAGCCTAAGTATTGGAGGACAGAAAAGAATGAAGGGGGGTCCATTTTCCTCCCCTTTCGAGGGCAACCATGGACTCCCCATTAATGTATTATGCTTTATTCTTAAAAGAGTTATTTTGGGAAGGGGTAGTTAGCTAAGAAATCAGGAAGAAAATTAATGTTCAATCAGTGCCGATGATAAGGGGATGAATGTTCAAGCTTGTTTGACTGTGTAGATGTATCCATAAGTCTCAATGTAAATTCATGTGTTCTGATTAGAACTCTGAAGTTTTGAAAGTGTCTGAGACATATAGTCAACACTTTGTTGCTCTTTCCATCATTTAACACCTTTTTCAGACAAGCACTGCCACATATTCTACATATTTAGCATATCAAATGGGACAGTGTTATTAAAATTACCCATACATTCCTATCTAGAGGTCCATAAATAATTTCAATTATTGATTTTAATGGTATACCTGTTCCAACTGCTTCATTTCCATTAATTATTCATTAATATGCTTGGATTTCCTGCTGATGCCAGCTGAATGAACGAAGAATATTTCCTGTAACATTGCAAAATAATCTGGAAGACAAAAAAAGTGTGTATATTTTTTTCCATTTTAATAAATGCAGTCTTGTTAAATATATTATATTAGAGGAATTGATAGGACTCTATCAAATATGTAACTGTAGATTCATGTCTTTTATTATTTTATTAATTTTAATAGTGATAAGACAATCTGCCTTAAAGGGATGACATTGCTTAGCACTCTGATAAAAAGGTAATTTGTTTAGAATTGCTTAAGAACATTTGGAAGGCCACAGAGGCTCAGAGATTAAAAAATAAAATTAGCTGCGGGAGTGTCCTGAGATGTATGTCTTGAAGAATTTGAAACACAAAAACTTCTTAGCAGTTAAAGATAATTGGACTGCAGGAAATGCTAGGATAAAATCCCCCCAAAAAGTAATCTAAGGAAACACTAAGAACTGGGTTACCTTTTGCAGTATCCTAATTCTGCAATCACTCAGATTTAATAACTTTTGCCATCTCTCCCACATCTTTTGTAGATATGCAACTATGCATTTTCCACCAAGAGCAGGAAAGGATGTCCAGGTCTAGATGTGCAAGATAGCTCTCAGGTAGAGTGCAATAAGCACCATGAGACACTAGAAAAGAATACATCCCCTCACCTGCCCGTGCTTCTAACAAGGTAGGTGAGATAAAAAGTACACTAGCATATGGGGGTAAAAACAAGATCATGAATCTGTCACCTGCTTGGAAGCCAGCAAAAATCTGAAGATTTTAAGCCAAGAAAGGGGGACTGAGGAGTTATGGAATAGACTTGACAGAATCATTTTAATTGGTATGCCTTAAAACCAACATTTCTGAAGTACAGGCAGAATAGCTGTCTAACATCATAGTTCAGCATTAAATCAAACTACTCACAAATCCCTAATGACACTTGTCATTTTTGTAGTGTGGCCAGTTAGTTATTTTCACAAAGAATGTCAATCTACACAGGAAACCCAATTTCCTTATTGGAGGAATCAATGATCAAAACTTTTTGGCTTATCTTAAAAAGGAATTTTGATTATATTAAAGAAATGGTTTGACATATAAGGTTATCAAACCATCTTCCAGAAAATTATTTCGGGGGTTGGTTTTACTCTTTATTGAATCAAATAATATGTACAAACTGGCTGCTTTTCTCTACTCTACTACAAATATTGATGCCAAAATGATTTTTGCTGCATATATTTGTAGATCTGTAGACTATTGTTGTGCAGTTATATAGTTCCTAGCTAACCCCAGGATTTTTCCTACCCTGATAGACAGAAAGACAAAACACATACCAAAAGACTCCTATCCTATCTTGCTGCTTCTGGGAACTAAGGTTAAACAGCTTCTCAAGACACTTTCTCATAAAGAAAGTACAGCCATTATAGCAAGTAGCAAGAAAGGGGAGTTCCAGAAGAGGATGAAGCAAGGGAGTAACTGCCTTATTACTTCTGCTTCTAATTGGAAATTTTTGTAAATTATGCTAATTTGCTAAACTTATAAAACTGTATTTGCCCTATGTGGGGTGGTCATTTTTCCATATCTGCCTTTGGAGGCCTCCAATTGAAGACCAGCTTTTATATTGCTTCCTATACTAATATTGTCTTGAAAGTGTGTTGTTTTGTTTCTAGATCTTTTAGATATCAATATGGTTGTTCTTTTCATGAAGTCAAATTAAAACACAAATAATTTGTTAAATTTCTTTGTAAATTTCAAAAAACAAGGTTAGCTTTTAAATCTGGAATGCATTCTTTTCAATAAATTTTGCAGTCTGCTTTTTTTGGTATAATTATTTATCATATACACCATATAGAACACGACAGCTATCAATCTTTCCCATAATACTTTAGCACATTTACCCAAAAGTCATGCCCAAAATAGTAAGGCTAATATTAGGATACAGGAAATTAATTTGCATAAAATCTAACAGTGCAAGAAACACACTGTATTATCCTAACTAACAGAGATCTTATTGATTTACTCTTTTGGTAATATATTTTTAAGATTTAAATTTTGACAGTCTTTTTTCTCATATATTTCTTATGAAGTAGTGAGTTTGCCAGGCACACTGCAGTGATGAATGATCTTACAAATATACTTCTACACTGAGCTGGTGATTCATACAAGTGAAATATTTTTTTCAGTAATCTCCCAGAATTTCTTTTCCTGCTATAGGTTGTTATTTAAAACATTGTAGCTTCTAGTGATTTTTATTGCAATGCAGTACAGGCAGCTGTATGTGAGGACATTTAAGTAATGAACATCATGATCATCTTTCACTGAAAGAAAGGAGGCTATCAGGAAGCTGCCTCTGACCATCATTAGACTGAATTAAGTTTGCATTTAGTGTGAAGAAAGAAAATGTCCTTAATCCACTAATTCAGCATAAACATCTCTATTAACTAATCCTCTCAAACTGTAGCAAATGCCGTGTTACTTCATAACATCATGCATTTCATGCTCAGGATAATATTTCTGATTGGAGAAAGCTTTAGTGTCTCAGCTAACTTTAGTCAGCTAAAATTCAGTCATATAGGATGGGATTCCTTTGCCTAAAGATAAATATCTACTGCAAATTGAGATGTCCTACCATATCCTGTGTGGTCTTCCACTGTCATGTCAGGAGGATGGAATTCTTCTATCTGTTTTGTGTCTTATGTGTCCTATGTGGCTGTCTCAGATATTGTAGAACTTCTAAGGGGGAGTAAGTTTAGGCAAGTAAATTACAGACTTACAGTAAGTGAGCAGCTTCGTAGAATCCAAAAACTCAAGTAGGCTCAATTCATTGTAGGAGTCTTGCCCCATGTGAAATATCTTAACTAATCAAAGCTTTTGAAAAGGACTGAAATAATTGCCAGAGCATGTCCAAGAGACCTCTTCACACAGTCAATATATAAACTTGAGCAACTGAGTGAAGCCCTAATGACTGGAAATCCAGTGACTAAATGAGAATCAAAATGCTGAATGTGCATGTAGATATCTAAAATTAGGAGAAAGTTGTGTCCTACTGGTATTCTGAGCCAGCTATTTGGGATACCTGTATAATCAATGGAGACATTCTGGCATCTGGCATTGCACCTCTCTTAGGGATTCACCTATTGCAGCGATTGTTTGGAAGTGCTTCTGCCTGCTGACTAGAATGTGGAAGAAGAAATCTAGCTAAGATTAATGAGCTGAGTGATTGAATCCCACTTCAAGTGCCTAAGGAAGTGTGGGCTTTTCAAAATCTAGGGTTTAATTATCTAAACACAGGGCTCAATTTTATTTCCTATGCCCTAGGACATACATGTAATGCACAAGATGTAACTGAATATTTCTGAAAGGGCAGGTGGCAACCAAGATACCCCAGGTTATCCTAAATTTCATTATATGCCAATATTAAGGCATCTGAACTGATTTCCTACAGTCAATTTAAAACCAGATGTCCTCATGAAACTAGAAAGTTATGGCATAGATATAACTAAATAGTCGTTACCTATTTTAATAAGTTTCAGGCTATGTCACACCAAAAAAATTTTTCCTTTAGCATTTAACTAGTTATTCTGATTGATACTCTTGGAGCCTACTTGATCATCTTTCAGGTTTCGGCTTTGAGTGTTTATTCTCATAATGTATTGGAATATTTATTGTCCTTTTAAAAAGTAGTCAATTTTTGTAGCATAGTTTGGGAAGGAATTATGTACAAAATACAATTGGCAGTCTAGGTAATTACTTTTTATGTTCTTTAAATAAACCAAAATTATTTTCATTTTTCAATTTGATTTAATCGTATTTATTAATTTGTAACAGAAAATTCTTTTGTGATTAGTTATAGCATTCCTCATTATCCTCATCATGCTCCTTCCCTTCCTCCCTCCTCATGTTCCCTCCCTTCTTCCCCCTTCCCTCCTTCCCTTCCTTCCTTCCTCCCTCCCTTCTTCAAAGAGCTGTCCTTAAAAGTTCTAGTGACGTAAGAACAGAGCTGTGACTCCTTTGCCACTTTTCCTTTCTATGTGAAATAAAAGCAAATGGTCTTTTTTCCTTTTTTCCTCTTTTTTTGTTAACTTAGAGAAAATAATCATTGCAGAATGTCCCTTCATCTAACATGGGGGCATGTATAATACCAAAAACAGCTAATAAAGGATGTCAAGGCAACAGGAATAAAAGAAATAGAAAAATCAATTGAGATTGCTTCTGCATCTTCACACAGAACCCACAGGACAGAACATTCTTTTAAAAAAAGCTTGGTGAAGTTAACTTTCAGGTTTACTTAAAAAGCCTTAAGAATCCTTTCTATAAAAGTTTTAATGTTATTCTTTTTATAGCAGGAAACTAATTATTATATTATATTATATTATATTATATTAATTTTATTATCATATTATATTCTGCACTATGCATTCATTTCACTATACAAATTCTTGTATATCTATATTCTGGTCACACATACACACATGCAAATCAACAGTAAACATGTAAATGCTTCCATTATCACTTTTTTTCTGTACTCTACTCTGTAAACAGTTCAAAAATAGAAGCTTACTACATGCTTTATTCTCACAATGGTTCATTCTAAACACCCTTTTGAAATGTTTTGAAGTGTATAGAACCTGAAACTAACTATCTATCTATCTATCTATCTATCTATCTATCTATCTATCTATCTATCTATCTATCTATATAATGTATCTAGAAATACATCCAAGATAAGTGGGAATATTCTATTACTGCTTTGTTCTTTGAATATGATGTTCTTATTCCCCATATTTCCTTCTCTCTTAATCATAAATTGCTGATGTCCATTGAAGTGCCAGAAGAACAGCTGACATGAAGATTGAATACAGAAATAGATTTCCAAATTATACTGTTTCAAGATTCAGAATATGGTATTGCATAATAGCAGCCCACAAGTGGTCATTCTTAAGACAATTCAGTCTTTTTAATTAGTCACTCATTTCAGGGTAATGCAGTGATAAGAAGTTTTTTACGTTTACTATTGACATTGTGATCACTTTTAAAGAATTTGGAAATACCAGCTCACTTTTT